TCCTTTTCTGGCTGCTGTTATTGCTGCAGAGCACAGGCCACGCTGTTTGGCTGCTCCAGCTGGGAAGAGAGCACCTACTGGGCTTTTCCCAGGATGATGAGAGCCGCTCTGCTCAGTCCAGTCAGCAGGCAGTGGACAAGGGCCCCCGAGCTGCTCCCACCTCCACTCTCTCCCCCTTCCCTTAGGCCTCCTGAAACCTCCCCCCTCTCTTTCCCTCCCTCCACCTCCTCCCTTTAAGTTCCCTCAAGTCATGATCCGGCCCGTAAATTAGTACTGGGAGAAAAATAGGTTCTGTAAGATGAAACTGGGTTTCTGTGTGTATCAGCACACGACTCAGGGGAGACAAGAGAGAAGAAGCAGGCAGTAAATCCATTGGAGTCCACTGATAGCGCCTGTTTGCACAGCCACTGCCGCTTCCTTTGATCAAATGGCTGGGGGAGTGGGGGGTCGTGTGGCGCTGCCGAAGGTCAGCTATATATTACACTCCTAAAAGTGATTACTGAAATTCTTAAGTGAAACCATTCTGCTGCCAGGGTGTGCTCTAATCCCCTGCAGCGTTGTCTGGGCCTGGGCTGGGGCCGGGGCCTCTCTGTGGATCTGTGCGCGCCCAGCACTCCTTTTCCCTTTCCCCACTTGTGTTTTCTATCATCAGAACAGGCCCGAAAAAGAGCCCCTACATGGAAACATGGCCTATCCAGTTGCAGTATCAACTGCTGGGGCTTGCAGGAAAGAGAGGGAGTGAGAGAGAAGGAGAGGGAGAGTAAGTGGGAGAGAGAGAGAGGGAAGGCAGTGTCAGGGAGCAGAAATATGCACACACTTCAAAGGCCGGGGCAGCAAATTAAGGGTTAGGCATTGGACACGACAGTAAGTGGCCTTTACATCAGAAACAGGGTAAACAATGTCTGGGTTGTGTTTCGCTTCTTTCCTCTATGTTGTTGCACGCAGACCCCCCGGCTCTCCATCTGCACGCCGGCGGTGCTGTAGGTAGAGCCCCTCAACAGCTCAATGACGTTTTTTTTTTTTCATTTTTATTTTTTCGACATGCAGCGAATCATTTTCATCAATTGACCTGTGATGAAATGTTTTGTATCTTTGCCACTGATGTGTGTAAATGAATGGAAAATCTGACACGGTTCTGCAGAGTGAATGGTTTTAAGAGGACGTGTAATTCAATAAAGCCTCTGTAAAAATTCCACAATTTATGACTGGTAGCTAATCCCTGCCACAATGTTGCACCATATCAAATCAATTACAAGCACGTATAAAACACAGCGCTGCGTTCAAGTGTGATACAAACAAGCTTCAGGAGAGAAAACTAGGTGTGTTTGTGTGTGTGTCTGTGTGTGTGTGTGCACGGCTTCGACTGCACCGGTTGCAACCGAGCCAGCCAACATGATCTAAACAAGAATTATGTGAAGTCATGCTCTATGAAACTTTATACACATTTGCTGATCATTACCTAAGATTGCTTTGTGTTAACTTTGGCAGCATGGCTCTTGGCCCTCGCTAAGAAAAAGGGATGATGTATTTCCTTTTATTTATTATTTGCAGTGAGCTACTGAGAGGGAAAGGGAGAGGGGAAAAAAGTGAGGGTGAGTGGTGTGCCTGGGACTGGTGCATCATTGCCAGGAATAACAGAGAGAAACTTAGTCCTCAGCCTCATTAGGACGCAGGAAACACATCCCGGGGGACACAACAGAGTTTAAATACATTTCAAAGTCTTCACGCTGCAGGATGCTACATGCCAGCTTCTCTTTATTTCTGCGTTTTCCCCTTTCCTCAAAATGAGAATGTAAACTGCATCAAGTGCTGCAAGTGCGCAGGCTTCAAAAGAGTTGCAACCCCATGTTGCACGTCTCATAAATTCTAGTGGGGGAATTCAAAGAGAAATTTATCGAGCATGGCATTCACACATGTTGACAGTAAAGTGGGCCAACTGCACACCGGGTCTTGAGAATTTGTAGGAGCACATGGCCCCCTTTTCTTGCTTTGAAACACCCTCTTTGACCCTTTGATAGCTTATGCAATGTCTCTGCCCTTTCCATCAAGAAAAAAAAAAGTTTGGAGGATTTATCTGAGACACAAAAGCTCATAGCTGTGTCCTATAAATTAAAAATGTCAGAAACACTGTTGTAAACATGGAGAGATTTATCCACATTGTTACATGACCAGGGCATGAGACCCAATATATCACAGACACTTCTTGAACTACTACCCTCGAAGCAGGTGCACTCCTACCCCAAATAAGGCAATGTGCTATAAAATCATCATTTCCCAACATTTGTTTATAATACGAACGAGTCCCTGCCATCTGTTTCCACCCTGCACTGCCTTTTCTTCACATGTTTGTACAGTAAGGGAGGTGTTTATGGTCTTTGGATGTTGCCAATTTCACTAGAGAGAGCTCTGCAGAGCACCTATGGGACTCAGCGTACGTACAGAACCACACTTTTGGCTCCACTGCCTATTGACACAGCTGCTATCAGGCTGCAATGATCTGATTCCAGGGGTGGTGAACATATCTGCACACACTTACCTACACACACAGAAAAAAAAGCACACAGGGACGCACAAAACATGTTTGTCTTTTCCCTTTAAATGTCATTAAGTGCTACTCAGACACAGCTTGATATTGACTTTGGTGGAGTGAAGGCGCTCTCGCCCTTTGTTGTTGCTTGACTTATGGTGGTTCACCCAGAGGCTGCCTCTCAGGATGCTACAAAGTGTGCGCTTCCTAGCTATCAGCTGCTGCTGCGATCACCAAAACACAGCTTTTTGGTTTGTTTTCATCTCAACCTGACACATCCAACATGAACAACTCTTAAGCCAACATGAAGTAGAGGGGGATTTTTTTTTATCATGTTTCTCTTTTATTTGGATAACTGTACTTTTCTAGTTTTTTTTCATGTCATCTGGTTACTGTTCAGCTGCTCGGCAGAGCTGTGGAGGTCCTGAGTGATGGAGAAAAGCTGAGAACAGAGAGTGAGAAAGTAAATAAAATCATGAATGATAATAAATTGCATCACTTGTAATTCTATCCAGAGCTGCTTTGCTGTGCGCTGCAGACCCCTTTATATGCAGGGGCCCTGAGAGATCTGCCGATAACATGGGGATTGATGTAGGCCATTAAAGGAGCGTGTGTGCCGGGCTGGAGGGGTGCGTTACATTTGGCCTCCACAACAGCACTGTATATCAGCATGTTGTCACCTGGGCTGATGTCACAGCAGGTCCTTCGGCTAAGAAAACACACACTCGGTCTTGGGTGGGTGACCAGTGCAGGCTCACTCACTACCCGTTAATGTGCTGCTTGTGCTGAGGAGAGAGGGAGGGGCGCTGTTGAGGGTTCATGGCCTCTCCAGTTGTGATCCATAACCAATTAGGCATTGTGCATGTGTAACTAAAGAGTCCTTGAAAACAAAACAGCGATGTGGGTGAGCATGTGGTTGGGAACGGTGAAAAAAAAGAGTTCTTCTGAGCTACATATTCCTGTTATAGTCCTGTTTCTGGCAAACATTCAAGACGTTTACTTTTACTATACATGTGTATGGGCACAATGACCTCTGATTTGATCTTATGATGCTGTAAATCTATTTTTGTTCATTTTGTTGTTTTTTGCTCTGCACTCAGTGACTCTTGATGATGTTCTTATTAATCTTAAACTCCACACTGAGGAACTTGAAATAATCAGACATCTGTTTTCGTTGGTGGCGATATGCCTCCTCATGAATCTACCTCTCCTTCTGAGCAAAGTCATCCCTGTTAATCTTGTCAGGATTTCTTCATGCCGCCCTCCTCGTCCTCCACTGATGGGAACATTTTGTTGCCCTGAGAGGTAAGAGCAACAGCGAGCTTGTCAATATAAGGTTCTTTGGATGTGAAGTCTGATTCATATATGTGACAAAAGATAATATACTGCTACAGCTGGTTGTGGTTCATGTTTCTTTGTTAAGTTATATCTAATTTGGCCAAGTCTGTTTTTTTCTTTTTAATCTTATTTAAAGAACCAGGTGTAAATATCTACTTTGTATGAACTTAGCACATATTCATCTCCCTTTATATTTGTGAGATACGATGGAAAGGGACCTATATTGGTTTTGGTGACAAAAACACAGTCGCCAATCGTCTTTTATTTTCTTTAAAGGTTTGGTTTTTAATTGATTTTAGTGTAATCAAAATGTCTTTTCATGTCTTTTGTCTGTAGCTTGTTTTTCTTTTCTTTTCTGCTGTTATTCTTTAATTGGTTTAATTGTCTATCGTGAAATACTTTACTTGTATCAAAAAGTATTGTAATAATATTGTCAATTATTTGGTAGTGTAAGGTGTCAATGGGAGCAAAAAGACCATCAAGAATTTTAAAATATTGATGGAGACTTAAAACTACACTTTTACACCATCTACACAGGCTGTTTCTGGGTTTCACAGAGGCTTTACACACTTTTAAACATCTGAAGTTATCAGTGATTCTTTCAACTTTGTCTTTTATTTCATACATAAAACTTTGCCTAATGTTGTGGCATTGATCATTCTTTCAACTTTACATTTCAAATCATGGGTTTTTCCAAAAAAGTATAAAATATATATATATATATATCATCCTGATACAAGCAACATCTTCCACATACCACCTTAAATGCTCGAGTGTGACTTGAAAGACAGACTCCTTAGGATGATGTCATTAAAACAGCATGACTTCCTCGTATCATATTACTGCCTAAAAATGATGATTGTAGACTCAGGTCTGATAAAACACTTTATTTATCTCTTATACAAAGGAAACCGAGAGCGCAAAGGAATTACATTTGTAAATCACAACCAATGTGGTAACTGAGTAAATACAAACAATCACAAGGCACATTTACTTCTGCAAGTTGCATGAAATTACTAATAATCAGCAAAACATCTGTAAATGTCAAGTTAATGAACTGTTTAAAAAAAAAACCTGTAAGACTGTGTTATGGTGTAACAGAACAACAACAAAGTAAAAAAAAAAAAGAAGTGGATTAGGTGGCGTGCTGAGCTAAGAAGGCTCTTATTCTGTGAAGAAGCTCTTTCTTAACGCTGTCTGGGACCAAAGCTGTAAGAGAGAGAGAGATATTCATTAAAATGCTGTGGTTTATTCAAAGAGCTGCTGTATGGATACAAACAAACAAACAACAAAAAAACTGTCAAAACTTCCAAAGCAACACTCTGGCCCAATCCATTTCTGGAGTTGAAGACTAGAGTTTTATCTCAACCTAACACTGACTGAAATGCAGAGCAAGTGTTCCTAACCCTGTAATCTTGTGATTTGAAGTTGTTAAGTGTAACGTTTCAGAAGTGTGAGAACAAATGTGAAAAAATACAGCAGTTTATCATGTTTTCTTCAACATAATCAGTTTCACCACACAGTCAAGTTAAGATACCTCTTCCTTTGGGAGTGATCTCTACCACCAGGTCTTCAACAGTGACATGCTCCAAGCCCTTTTCTTTGATCACTTCTGTAAAGAAGAAGAAGAAAAAAGAAAAGGATTAAATGTTTTCAAATTACTATAATGACAAAACAGCTCTGAGCTGCTTGTTAAATTAACTCTTGAATCCAGTTGCAACGCTTGTGTAATGCTGCACTATGATGTGAATGTTGTTTGCTCTTAAAGCTTTGGATGATTGCTGTGATTGTTAGAGTGATGTATGCATAAAAATCAGAGGAAATATATATTAAACATTGATTGTAAATATTAAGGCCCAACCGATTTATTGGCGAGCCAATTGAATCGGCCAATTTTAGCCCGTTTGAGACTAATCAGTAATCGGCCAAAACTCGCCGATTTTCGCCAACATTTTCAGAAATAAAATGCAGAGAATAAGATTCGGTTTCACTTCGAAAATGTTCCGCCAGTTGAAAAGTTCCCAGACTTATCCTGTAGATGGCGCAGTGACCTCATGACAATCTTCATCCACTAACTACCTCACAGCAGAGTGACGGAGCTGAAGCAGGCAGCTCAGGGACGCACGGAGGACAGTGGTCCGCCTCAACAGTAAATAAACCAGTTTGTGAAGTACACAATAAGTCAACAAGTTTCAGTTCAACCCACTTCACCATGTTCCTCGCTGTGCTGGTCTCCGTCATGCCGAGTTAACAGTGAAACACCATGTAATATGCAAGCTAAAGTTAGAGTTAGCCACCTGCTATTAGCCTTGCTACATTGTTAGCCCTGCCAGTAATGGTAGAAACGACAGTATTCTCTCTGATCGAGCTACTTCTCTTACTGAGGTAGCTGCATGTCTCCAGATGAGACCGGACCGGAAATGCGTTAAGAGTTAAGACGCGGAGGCACCGTGCTTTTCTGGTCCGAGTTTGATCAGTCGGTCTTCCTGTTGGCGTGAATAGCAGTAGCCTGTACTGTAGATATCTACAGTATATATGTATTTTTCATAACTTCATAATTTTTTTAAAAAATCGTCTGATTAATCGGTAATCTGATTTTTCCCCCCCTAATAATCGGTATCGGCCCAAAAAAATCCATATCGGTCGGGCCCTAGTAAACATGAGCTTCACGAGAGGTCATCAAACTAACTCAAGTTTTCTCTTATTTGTCCTTTATCTGGCTGTTGCTAAATTTTATTTGTCATTACAAATGTGTTTACTTTCTCCCTTCGTTCATACAGGGTTGTTCAATTTCTCATTTGACGATGTGACTCTTTTCATGACTATCTGTGCCTCGTATTGTTTTTGCTTTTGCACAGTAATTCGATGATCATCTATGTTGTGTGCTCCGACAATATTACTACAACTGTTACCTTTACAATGAGCTTTCATCTGATCCTTCCAGCCACATTCAGTCAGTTTGGCCCTCAATAACTCCTTCAATCTGTCAATAAAATGCAAAGTAAATGTATAGCAGCGCCGTTTTCTTCATGTGAAACGTTTAACAATTGTGAAGAAATACAAGGTGTACAGCTGTCTTAAAACATAGTATCAAATGTTAATTTATGTCCTTGAAAAAGTCACAATAGTGACGACTCTAAAAGGTTTTCTGTGTTGTAAAATTACATAAAACTATAGGTTCTCTGGAGTATTTTGACTCACCTCTCTCGTTCCCCCATCTCTGTCAGCTTCTGGTTTATTGTTGCCCTCATTCTGGTCTCTTTACTCATAGTCTTTGACCTACAAACAGAGAAACAACACATTGTTAGTCCAACAACCACGGTGAACTCAGACATTTCAGAAAGGTTAGTGTTTATTTTACTCAATTCACGAGGGTCCCTTTGGTTAAGCAGGAAAAGTCTGCTGTTAAAATATACTTACAAACAGAAAGGGTCTTATGAAGAGGTCCCACTCCTCAGTTTTCAACAGCGCGGCCAAACTGTGGCGTAGCTGTAAAAGTTAGGAAGACATTTTGTTTATTTACAACACAAATATATGGATTCAAAACGCCCTTCGGTGCGAACTTATAAAAGCATTAGACAAGCTTTGGGGAGAGAGCGGCTATGAACATCGACAGGCGTTTTTTTTTTTTTTTTTTTTTCATGTAATATAATGTGGTTAACCATCGAAAATTGGATTCCGGAAGGAAACAACTGGTGACTTATTGGTTCCGACCTATGAACTGCAGTACTTCCTTACACCACACCGCGGCAGTGTCGGCTAATACGCTGAAATAGCGGTCACTGCCCTCTCAGTCCCCTAAGATCTTTTATTTGGATTTCTTCATGCTATACATTTCTCTCAAAAAAATGTTTTTCTTAAGTAATTTGTTTATTTATTTCAGTTTAAGAAGCAAATGTACTCTTCAGGGTGACACATTAAAGAAAGAGCTGTTATCTTTAGATTTTTTTAAATTCCTAAAAGTAAATATGTATGTTTAGCTGGCAGTGACAGAAGCAGAGCGTGCCTGCGGGCAGCCATGGCACCCAACTGGCCACCCTGAAACATACATCCATCCATTTTCTACTGCGTATTCCCGTTCCTGGGGTTGCCAGGGGGCTGGAGCCTATCCCAGCATCTTCAGACGAAGGCAGGGGACACCCTGGACAAGTTGCCAGTTCATCGCAGGGCTGACATATCGAGATGAACATGCATCCACGCTTACATTCACACCTAAGGGAAGGTGACCAATCAATCTAACCCCACTTGGGTATGTTTTTGGGATGTGGCAGGAAACCTGGGTACCTGGAGTAAACCCATGCAGACACAGGGAGAACATGCAAGCTCCACATGGAAACACCCTGAGCTGGATTTGAACTCAGTACCTTCTTGCTGTGTGGTGACAGTGCTAACCACTACACCAATGTGCTGCTATTTGTCCTACCAGGGGCACTACTTCTATTGAAAACAACTATTTGGAATATGTTTAAACAGGCTGCTTGTTTTTTTGCATTTTAGTATAGAACATTTTCTCTTTAGTTGCTCAAAACAACAAGGTAATATGTTTGCAGTCTTGAGAAAAATATATTTTATTTTGGTGGTAAAAGAAAAAGAAAAAAAGAAAAAAACACACTCAGTGCAAACCAGTAATATCCAGCATTTTCATAAAACTAAATTTAAATAAAAAGTGGAATGTTGTTGTTGTATAACTGGGATATCTTCATTAAAGCATCAAACTCTACAACCTGATCATGTGTTGGCTGAGGAATTTTAAAGAAAGAGAAGAATACCCACAGAGTTCACAGTGTACTTTGAAACTTTGGCTCCTTTTGGAAGCAACCATTTGTGTTAAGCAGGATTTAATTCTCTTGTGTTCATGGAGTCATAAGAATCCCTCAACTCGGGAAGTGACGTCAGAGATAAGATGGGCTTTCCTGACTCTGAAAGGCTGCAGCAGGGTGAGTGATCTAAGCTGCAGGTGCACATATTTTTATTACTTGTTAGGAGGTCACTTAGATGATTTCCATTATTGATATGGTTTGTATTTATTTGTGTCATTGTTAGTTCAGGATTTGTTTTTCAGCCTTGTATCTTGCTGTGATGCCCCTATGGGGTCATGCTGCTGTTGGAGGTGTCTTGTTGGTTTCTCTCTGCACACCAATCAGAGTAGTTATGCACACCTGGGCCCTGAGTGCTGGGGGTGCTGCTCCAGTTTACTCAGTTACACAGTTACTTGCATTCCTTTTTTTTCCTGCCCCCCTTACATGTGTTTGGTTTGAGTTGGTTTAGTTGTAGTTTATGTTTGCTTTGTACAACACCCTTGCAGAATTTGGTTCAATTTGATTTAATAAAGATTGGTTTGAACCTGATACATGCTGTGTGACTCCCCTTTTTGTTGTGACCACCTAAGCCAGGTCATGACACTTGCATACATGCTAACAGTACATGTCTTTCTTGCTCAGTGCACTAATCTCATCTGCCTCTGTCCTCAAAACCACAGATAAAACAGCCTGATTGCATTTATAAATGAATCAGTGCCCCTGTTTTTGCACCCCACTTATAAAAGTCTGTCTCAGGCCACAGCTACAGGGTTACTTTTCTGCAGTCTTGAAAAGGTTAAGGTTAAATACTTGTGGCTTGATACAGCCACAGACAGTTTCTAATGGGAGCAGGCCCACACAGATTGACAGGAAGGTTCAAAGGCTTCCTCATACATAATTATTTATTCTCTTTTCTCTTAGCAAAAAGGGTAGAAGACTGTATGGTTAGACTCTTTGCAACCTGAATAAGTGCAGCAGGAATCATTCTTTCTGTAAAAGCACCACAAACTTCAGAAAAACCCTGGGCCAAATAGTATAATATGTAAAAGAAACAGAGAAACAACTGTTGCTGCTGTCAACACTGTTTAAATGAGTAGCAGACAGAAATACATTCACTTATTGTAAGTCACTTTGGGCAGCCTCAGTCTAAACAATATAATGAATTGTTATGCTATGGGGAAAGAGTGTTTACAATAGAGCCTTAGTGTTATGGATTTATATGAACCTGTAACCATAAATGTGTTTTAATTCAAGCAAACACACCTGGTAAAGGCAGAGGTTTTTTTTAATGTTCTTATTTTCTTCTATCACAGGTCTATCCCATAAGTACCGCTTATAGGAGGATAAAAACATGTTCAAGTTGGTAATCAAAAAGATACTTACACCCGTAAAAGCTCTTGGGTTCCATTCATGGCCATTAAACCCTTGATAAACTTCATTGTGTACATTTATTCGGTGTGAAATCCATGTCTGTCAATCTAAGGCCGTTTATATTGGCCCAAAATTAGCATCTCTTGCATGTGACTCAATGTTCCCTTCTATGGCTAAAGTAAGTTTGAAAAAGTGCTTGTACTCAACAAATTGATATTTTTGGGTACTGGTCTTTTCTGTGTATATTTTACAAAGGAATGTCTGTGTGGTGTAACAGCATACCTCTGTCTCCATCAGTGTTTACTGCAGAGTGACATTGTAGCTACAGCCAGGTTGAAAACTGGGGATTTATTTGAAATATAACTACACAGCTATAAAAACAAACTGAAGCATTGGTGGACCAGGGGTGAGTGGAAAAGTCTTCCTCGATCCTTTAAAGATGAGGAAATAATTTCACAGAAAATCCCCTTTATCTCGCTGTCTGTGTTTCCCTGTGGACTATGTCTTTGTTAGAGGACTCCTCTGAAAACAGAGAAACCAACATAGGCATGAAAACAGACAAGATGAGAGTTACAACTTCAAGAATATGGAACAGAAATATGTCACAATGGGTTTGACTTTTGACCCCCAACATGATATCAGTTTATCCTCTCATCAAAGAAGACATGAGTGCTACACATTGGCTTATTCCCCACAGTATTACTATTCATCAAAAAATAAATAAGACAGGAATGATGTTTGTTTTACATGATATATTTTGTCACAGGTTAATTTTTGACCTGTTTGGTACAGCATGCATTCATTTCAATCATTTAAAGGGATATTCCGGCTTAAATTTAAGTTATGGTCAAACACATTAGACCCCCCCTCAGGAGATGAACGTTGTCAACTGCTTGCTTCTCTAGTAATACCAACTTCAGCAACGACCCTATGATAGCAATACACAGCGGTCTACGTCTCCACACGCAAACCTCAAATAGCCAAAAATAATGGTCAGAACAGCATCTAACTTCATCAACAGTTCACATAGGGTCCCAGCCATAGTACTAGCCACCAAACATCTTTTTAGCTTTGCCTGATTTCTTTAGCAAAGAGACCAAACACAACTAAGCCACTCTCCTCCAGCAGCCGCTTGTTTGTGGGGGAACCCTGACCGGTTGATCATCAAGTGTAGCGGAAATTTTAAGATTATTACTCCATGGAAATGCAATCAGGACAAGACGCTAAGGCAGAAGAACTACCATGTCTGCTGTGCACATACAAGATGCACAAAAACTCTGATTGCATTTCCATTAAGTAATGATCATAAATGTTCTGCCTTGAGATGCAGAACTCCGCTGCACTCTGTGGTCGACTCGTCAGATACACAGACCTCAACCTTGGTTGAAGTTCGTGGAGATGTAGACCGCTGTGTATTACCATTGTGCGGTTGTTGCTGAAGATGGTATAACTAGAGAAGCAATTGATTATATGAAACCAGTGGGAGGGGGGAGGCATCATCCAAGCATCTGGAAAAACACCCTTGTTTTACAATTTTTACACAAGATATTTACAATAAATAATACATTAGGCTGTTAAAAAGTCAGCTGGTTGGGGTTTTTGTCGAAAGTCACTTGTTAAGAATGCAGAGGACAAGATAAGTAAAGTCAATTATGTCCAGGGGGAACCAAAGTTGACACAGACACAAAAGTGACACAAAAGTTCCTGACAAGAGCTTTAAATATGTCAGTATTTGAATGGTTAATGAGCAGATGCAAAATTTAATGTAATCAATTCAGGTTTTCTGTGGTGAATAAATGTAGAGGCAGAAAATTTTTTCTGACTCCTAATCAAATATGCCCTGTCACTCCACATTCATACACTGATGGCAGGGGTGCTTTGCTAAATGACTGTTAAAAATTAGACTGGTGCAGGACCCTGGCATCTTCTCATAGGACACTTGCCAGATAGAGTCATCTCGATAAATGGGTCTGGGACTGTTTGTTTCCTTCCATTTTTCTGGAGGCTTTGACAATGCCTGTTTACAAAAGTGCCCTTGGAAGTAATTG